AGCACTATTACTTGAATGTGCTACCAAAGTGAAGACACTGCAGGAAAACCAGCATGTTAAACACTCTCATCACGGCCAAGCTCCTGTCTCCAAGGTAAACTGAGTTTCATGTATAATGTAAAAGGATCATAGGCATTGTCCTAAGAGCACTGAAAACATACTAGAGCTGTAGGGCATGTCAATCCACTGGCGACAACTGGCTAATATTTCCCTTTCCTGAGAAAAGCATAAATACTGTAAATAGCTGGGGAGGGGGGCAGGAAGGCAACATGCCTGCTTTTAGATTTCCTCTGTCTAGTGGAAAGACAAGGAGGTAGATCAGGAGCCTTTTCTGTGTCTACCCCTTCTCCCCACTCTCCAAACGGATGCCTACAATTTGAAAGAAAGGGAACGGAGCCTGTAGCAATGGCAGCAAGGAACTCTGCAACCCAAACTGACAAATGACCTTCAAGTTCCAGGTCTTTTCTCATCTTTCAAACCTCAGCATCTACTTGGGTCCAGCTCGAACACAATTATCTTCTTCTAAATTTCAGTAACATCTTGATTTTTTCTCTTTTATATCCTAAGAGTCACAACATCTGTGAAACCATCCTTTATCCCTCTTGGAATTGTCACTTCTGGTCACCTCACTGGATTGTCATTATTTTAACTGCCTCTTAATCAGTGACTCTATCTAGACTCTCCCCTTTCTAATCCATTATCTACAATCCAGATGGCTTATTCTTGAGAACAAATGACAGTCATCAATCAAGAGTGGCTACTACTTGGTGGTGCTCTGTGCCAACTGTTCTAAGTACCTTATGAAAACACTAATAATAACCCAACCTAATATGGTATTACCTTTATCTCCATTATTTTTAGATGAGAAAACTACAAGTTTACAGAGGCTAGTTAACATGCTTAAGTGATAGCATCTAGTTTTGATCTTTTGGATTCTCTCAAACCTCAAAGTACTTGCCTTTGCCATTAGACCTCTCTATACCTTTCGAAAACACAGAATATTATGTCCCCCAAACATACAATTTTCCTACTCCATATCTACTATTCGAATCCCACACTACCAGTACCAAGTACAAACACCATCCCCTGTCAGATAGATTTCCTTCTTGAATGCAGCACTCAGGATCCTTCATGTAGATTCTGCTCCCACCACACTAGCCCTGAAACTCCCTTCTCTGCCCAAGCCATTCAAACCCTGGCCCTTTTTCTAAGAGATAACTGCTGTCACAACAAACACCTGGCCTATTCTTTTCCCATACTCTCCACTTCTAACCACAAATTAGCATCTCTATAAATCTTGTCACCAGGCTGGTATCACATGCCTTTAATCCCAGCACTTGGGAGACAGAGGCCGGTAGACCTCTGTGAGTCTGAGGCCACCCTGGCCTACCTAGTGAGCTCCAGGTCAGCTGGCTACAGGGAGACCCTGCCTCAAAAACAACAAAAATGTATGTATGTATGTATGTATGTATGTATGTATGTATGTATTAGAGCCCTTCCACATAAACACCGGTCTTTACATTTCCTTTGTTTGCATATAGTTACAAAGAGATAGAGGAGGTTCTCAATAGTTGCTGGCATGGAGTAAATATAAATAATCATCTAAGGACAGAGAAAGGAGTATCTAGTCTCTCTTTGGCTCTATAAGATTCTTGACAACAGTCTTTCCTTATCTGCTTGTATGTTTTGTTCACCATCTAGCCAGTTTGGACTGCTTATTCAATGTGACATTTTAATGGTAGCAACAACTTATGTTTTCTTATTTCCACTGTATTTTAGCTTTTGAGAGTTTATCTCACACACAAATAAATGAAAAAAATGGATGAACAGTAAAAGGTAACAAGCTTTAGAGCATCAGGTCAGCTTGTTTCTCGGTTACTATCTCCCCTCTTTAAAAATACAATTAGTGATTTCTCTGATTGATAGGGAAAAAGGACAGTCCTTGGTTGATGTCTTAATCTTTTCGCTTTGCGCTTTTCTTGATCCTCGGTGATCCATTTGTTATCATTTTATCTTGTCTTTTTCTAAACCTCAAGGTTCTCCTTGTCAATATTATTTCATTAGTCAAGACTGGCCCTATTAATCCAGCTGTGGCTCTGGCATTAAGGTGCCACATTCCTGATTCAATACATTACTGGCAACTGTCACTGGTCTCTTCTATTGGTTCTAAGAGCTGGACTGCAGCCATCTTTCACTGTAAATTAAAGAGCTGGGATGACAGATGATCCTTTCAGCGGCCTGTTCCATCCCAGTATAAGGAGGGAGAATGGAGTAACCACAAAGAGAAGTATGGTCCCTGAGGAGGACAGCAGCCCAGGCCAGTGCTGACTAGGAGAAGGGTAAGTGGGCTGGGTCAAGACCATTACTCAGAAAACAACCAGCAAAGTGCTTTCCCCTCCCTCCAAACCACAGCTGAGTTCTCCATACTGCACTCCCTCCAGCTTTATTCTATCAAATGTGTAGACAAACAAAGATACCAGGCTTATCACCCTCAGCACGTCGCCCTGTTCTTGGTTAATGAAGCTGGCCTTGATGATTAAAACATAATGTTCAGGTTCCAGCTGTACCTTGGTCAAATCACTAAAGCTGTTCATAGCAAAACAGAGATAATGATGCTCATGCTAAATCATCATCATCATAATCACTCTATTTTCTTCAAAAGGTGGGAGACAGAAAAGAAAGTGATGACAGACAGGAAAGCAGTTGGAAAAAATTCCAAATGCCATGCAATGTTAAGATGTATCAGTGTGGTTCTGACATACATGGCCCTCAAACTACAAAAAAAATGTGAGCAATTTGAAGCATCCATAGCATCAGTCACAAATTTTTCACCTAGCTTATTTCTTCAGGTAAGAATTCTGTCCTGATCAGTTTTGTTCAGGGAGCAGCTGTCAAGCCATCACAGTTCTTTTCAATGACTCCATTTGACACTTTATTTCTGTTCTTTGTGGTTTACAAACCTCATTTGCTTGTCAAGATCTCTAAGCACTAGTTGGCCTTTACAAGGAAGCTGAAACTAAATTCATGTGCTTTTTCCATGATCAATATATAAACACAATATAGACAATATTTTCTATGCACATTTAATTGGAGAATGAATTTTCATCTTAGAGGTTAAACCCAGATTCCCTTACCTATATGAGGATAAATAAAACTCAGTTAACAAAATGCCAGGCATGATGGCACACACCTTTAATCCCAGCACTGGGAAGGCAAAGGCAAGAGGATCTCTGTGAGTTCAAAGCCAGGCTGGTCTACTTAGTGAGTTCCAGATCAGCTCAAGAGGGCTACATAGTAAGACTATGTTTCAAAGAGAAGTGGGGTGGGGAGGAAATGCAATGCCCTACATAACTTTAAAGGAAAACCTACTGAATAGAGTATACCTTCAGTTAGAGTTAAATTTTGCCATAACAGAAAAACTCATCTTTCTCCTTTTGATTCTGTACATACATTTAGCATCAAAACATTCTATAGTGACAAATTATGATACTGTGAAGGTCCAGCAGGAAATACCAGGAAGCCTCAGATGAAAACAAAGACAAATCCACATCTCCCTAATTGGCTCTGTTGCTGTAGCTACCTTAGACTTGGTGAGCCTTGGGAGTTTTGTGAATAAGTGCAATCAATACACCAAGGTTGCTGCGTAAGTGCTCAAGTGCTGGGTTCATTATTATGGCCAATGCAACAAATTCTACTTTATCCTTAAGAGTAAGCTTAAATCTCTAGTAGGAACAATAGAAGCAATGTTCTGATACTGTGAAACCTCTCTGGGTTTTGACTCTTTCAAGTGATGCTACAGCGAGGCTTTGCTAGTTAGAGAACAGAAGCTCGGGGTACTGAAGGCACCGAAGACACTCCACTGAAGGAGTCTCCCTGGAGCTCAACAGTATCACTTACAATCAAGGAAACACAAAAAGAAGGGAGAGGCATGCGACTCGACCACACGTTTTGCTCTTCAGAGAAGAGCTGTTTCAGAACTCTGTGGATGGTTTTGTGAACCACTCCTTACTCCCACTTAAGTTTCAAACTAAAACTTCCAAAGAAAAAAAGAGACAGGCACTTTAAAGCAGCCTTCCTTGCTCCCTTCCATAACAGATCTGCACTGAAATTTGGTGGCAAGATCCATACAGACTCTTGGGATCTGCTTGGGAAGAAACGCATTTCTCATCATGGAGAACCCCAAATTCTTGAGTGTCCCATATCTGGCATTTCCCTCGCTAAGCCAAGGCTGTACACATTTAGAATTCACACTGACTGGGCTCTGTCCGTGACCTGGTACACACATGCGACATCTCAGCACCTCAATGCAGCGCTTCTCCACCATCCCGGAGTCTCTTCCCAGCCTGACCCGTAGGCCCTTTCTAATTAGGTGACCTTTCCAAGGAGTATCTCCAGACGCACCCAGGGGAACTGAGGATGAGCAAGAAAGCTCCTGACATCCCGGAACTGAACATTTCAAGTGTTTGTTTTCTGTAAAGTAGCAGGACCCATTTAGGTGGCCATCGCAGCCCCCAATCGCTCCTCGATTTCGGGGCTCTGAGTGGCACTGGGGACACTGCGATGGATGGTTTGCAAGGGGTAAACCACAGTCTTTGGGAACTTCTCTTCCACCAAGATTGGATAGCGAGGAGAGGGAGAGAGAAGGGAAGAAAAGCCCACACAAAAGCAGCCAGCCTGGAAGCTCCGCCAGCACAAAGGCCCGCTCGCCGGTGCGGAGCCGGGAGGTTGGGCAGGAGCAAGGAGTGCAGGGAGTCCTCCCAGGCCTGCATGCCGAGCTCAGGGCTCACGGAGCTGTCCCCGCGCAGCCGGCGTCTGGGTACCACGCTCCGGAGGGGGCGCCGGGCGCTCGCTGCCGCGCCTCTGGCTGCGCGGCTCCGGGACTGTCTCGCTCCCAGCTCCCAAGGCGACCCCGCGATGCCCCGGGCTCCCGCTCCGTTCCTGCGCCGCGCCACATCTGCAGCAGCTGCTGCCCGGAGCGGCAGCAGCCGGCGGGTCCTCACCTGTGCGCCTTCAGCCGAGCTGCGCGCGGATGACGGCGGTGGCGCCGGCGCTCGGCATCCCTGCCGTGGCCCCTGCAGTGGCCGCGACTCCCTCGGCTGTCTGGGACGCCAGGGGGAGGAGGCTTCGCTTTGTTGCTTATTCATAAGGCGGCGTCTACGGCTGGGGATTGGACAGCGGGTAGGTGTGCCCGCCCCAGCTCGGCTGGCAGTGACAAGCGATGCCGTCGCCCGGTGCCCCTCCGGCGCCCACTCCGTCTCCGCTCCCACGCGGGCTGGATCCGGGTGTGTCCCGCGCCTGCGACTCCTCGTGAGCCTTCTGCCCCGCTCCTCTCTTCTCAGCCTCGGCACCGTCTGAGAGGACACCCGCGCCGTTTCCACAGGAGCCGGAATCTCTCTGGTATTTGGTTAAAGCAAGGGGCACGCAGTCAGGAGCTGCAGGGTGTTCCCTGTGGAAACTGTGTTAGGCTTGGCGGAGCCCCTGAGCTAACCCTTAAAGTAGCTCCACGTGAAATGTTCCCTTCCCAATCACTCAAGTTGAAAATAAGTGATATTAACAAGTATGAGTTATTGAGCCCTTTCTCCTGAAGGGCACAAAGCAAGGTGCCACATATAGACTTGTATACAATTAACTCTGAAAGTATTATGATCCTTCGAAAGTTCAAGCTAAGGGCTACAATTAATTTATTCAAGGTCTTATGGCAAGTATTCCCACTGGAAATGCATGACCGCCATCCTTGAGTCTCTCAAGGAATCAGTTTCCTATTTTCTTCTAATTGTGATGGAACAAGTTGTCAGGAATCTGAACTCTGAAACAGCTCCCACAACACTTTCCATAGCCTCTTGCTCCGATGAGCTCCCTTCTTTATAGAGGCCATCTTATCCCTCTTTTGTTGTTATTTGTAAACACTCCATCTTTGGCTCCCACACTTGTCACAGTGCACAGGTATGCACTGTCACCTTGACCAGCCCACCTCCCTTCAGGATATATTGGCTTTGCATTTTCAGAAAGATAGTCAACAAATAGTTATTGAATGGAACATGATTGAATTGATCCTTGAAATTTGGTTTCTATGTGTGTTCAACTTAATATGAGATACATTGTATTATGACCAGGTCTCCTGACTAGATTAGGTACACCAAACCTAAAGGGATCAGCCACACCCGACTAAGTTGTGTTTTGACATTTTATTTTAAGTCATTGGTTTGAAAATCAGGTCACATCTTCTTAAAAACAATGTTCTATAATATGGTAAGGGTCCCAGCTAGCTCAAAAAATTGGGTAGGTTCAACCCAAATGCTGATAAAAGGACTAATAAAAAAGGACATGAATTGTGGATGTTAAAAGTCCAGAGAACCAAGCAGAATAAGAGAGATGACAGGATGAGACTCCTGCTCCCCTTACATCTTGGGCCAGCTCCACTCACAAATTTTATGTAGTCAAAACTTCTTTGACATCTTCCTGCCTCTTTTATGTATCCCTTCTGTGACACTCTAAGTCTGAACCATAGAATACCACTGGTCAGACCTGCTTAACACTCCAAAGTTGTTGTTTTATTCCCCCTCCAAGATTGCTTTCCCATAGTACAATCCCTCTCTTCCATTTCCTACACGTTATGTCAGCTGTGCAGTAAAAGTGAAGCAATCTTCTTGAAACTCATTTATAATAGTCCTTTATCCTGTCCCAAATGGTTGGCACTACTTTAAACAACTCTGGGTGACAGAATTTAGCTCAACAGCTACTGTTTGTTGGTACACGGCAGTGATAAGATCCATTCTCCTGCCACCTCAACATACACACAAACTATAGATCAAGGAAAGTTGTTCTCTGAAAGTTAAGTGAAAAAATCCACACATAAAGAATATTATTCGATTTTAGTGGATAAAACAAGAAAGTGTGTACATGCACCAACAGCTGTTACCATTCAAGACAACAAGCTCAGGAAAGCGGCTTGGAGAGTGCCAGGGTTAGCAAATAAAAATACCTCTATTCCCAGTTAAATCTGGATTTCAGATAAACTAAGCATAGGTTTTCTTTTTTTTTCATTACTTTATCCCAGTCATTTGGTAGAAAATACTTTTTTTTTTTTTTAATTTAGTACCGGGGAGGGGGGAGACTGGCATGGTGGCATACTCCTTTAATCCCAGCACTCAGGAGGCAGAGGCAGATGGGTCTCTGTGAGTTCAAGGCCAGCCTGGTCTACAAATCGAGTTCCAGGCCAGCTGGGGCTACAGGGAGACCCCGTCTCAAAAAAAGACCAAAAATAAATAAATAAATAAATAAAATTTAAAATTTAGTACAGGTCTGGAGAAATGGCTCAGCAGTTAAGAGCATTGACTGCTCTTACAGAGGACCCAGGTTCAGTTCCCAGCACCCACATGGTGGCTAGCAACTGTCCATAACTCCAGTTCCAGAAGATCCGATTCCCTCTTCTGATCTCTGTGGGCATTGCATGACACGGGTGCACTTACCTATATGCAGGCATAACACTCAATCAGCTAAGAGGTCCTCTGTGTCACCTAGATCTCAGGATGTGTCTAAGAGAGAAAAGAAAGCTAGCCAACTTAATTTGTTGCCATTGGTTTACCTTTTAGCTTTGTGTCCAAGAAGGAAGAACTAAAAGCACTTCTTGATGTCTATTTGCATTTAGCTTTGTCCGTGATAGACAAGGAAAGAAAAGCTCACTGTACTGTTAGCAGTTTACCCTTTGGCTCTGTGGCTAGTTTGAAGCCCTTGTCATTGATTGTCTTTAACCTCAAAATTAGTTACAAACAGCCCATGGATCTTTATCACTTACTGAAATGCCAGTGGTGGTTCATTTTTGATCTAGCCTTGGAAGGCCAGTACCTGAAAATGAATTGCAAGCAGTTTGGGGATTTTATAGTACTTGAAATCTGCCTCTTCTTTGATTTTTTAAAATTTCCTGTCAACCAGGGCGTTATTGACCATTGCTATACCACTTGTCTCAGAGGAAACCAACATATTGATATTTTCGTATGTCTCAAATGATACCTAGGAAGCAGATGGCAGCTGGAGGGCCTTTTCATCCCTTTCTTGGTGCCTAACATCCCCTATCAATGCCAAATAACTATCTGACACCTTGATTTCTTATGCACATGGCCCATGGGGCTATTCTAAAATGAGCATTCCTGGCTGCTTGACCTCTGTGTGTACAAATTGTTATTCTGTACTATGAGAGCTGGATTATAGGGGTCTCTTCCTACCAGATCTTTTGATCTCTGGTCTTACAAAGCAAAGATCAGGTTTTGAAACACAGCTGGCAGAACTTCCCTGAGCTTTGTGCTACTGTTTGCTAAGGAAGATTTTATTTTAACCTAATTTATTTTTATTTGAAATTGTACCACCACCAAGGATTTGAAGCAATAGAACAGGATGAAAATTTTAAAGGTACAGTTGGAAACATTTTCTTGCAAGGCAAAATTTACCTGGTTCTCCCCCCAAGTCCCTTGGATTTTATTGTTCTTATTGGAGGTGTGGACATGAAAAGAGGAGAGGAGCCTCTGTGTAGCAGAGTCATTTACAAATTCAGTATTTAAGTCCTTGCTGAAAGCTGGTCTTTCCTTCCTGGCCTTCCTAAAAGTTGAGCATCAGGAGTTTTCTGCTTTCTTCCAGTGCCTTCTTCCCTGCTCATCTGACTCTAATTCACCAATGGGACTTTTCTAGTTTTGTTTTTTTTTTTAACTTTATGTGTATGAGGTATTCCTTGCATGTGTGTAACTGCATCCAAGTCATGCATTGCCCACGGAGGTCAGAAGAAGGAGCTGGATTTCCCTGAAACTGGAATTATGGACAGTTGTTAACTGCCATGTAAGTACTGGGATTTGAACCTGGGTCTTCTGCAAGAACAGCCAGTGCTCTTAACTGCTGAACGATCATCTCTCCAGCCCCAGCCCCTTAATATTTTAAGATGGCATTCCCAGGACTGAACTTCAGTGCAAAGTAGTATTCTAAGGAATACGTACCTGGCTCTAGTCAATGAGTGGTTGTGATGATGGTCATGATGTAAATAATAGTAATATTAGAATCCTTTTTACTAATTGTGATGTTTTCCTACATCCAAAACTCAGAAAAAAATTGACATGGCTTATCTTAAACTATTTCCATTGCAAATAAACTCAGCTTTTCATCACCTACAAAACTGTCTTTGGCATGCAGTTTATTAGGAGACAAGAAGGTAAAATAAATAACATAATAAAATGGATTTTCTTTGGCGGGGGGCAGTGAGACACCTGGAGCTCACCATATAGACCAGGCTGGCCTCAAACTTACAGAGATCTGCGTTCTGCCTCCCAAGTGCTGGGATTGATGATGTGGGCAAGCACACCCAGACCTCCTGACCCATTTTTTTAATGGCTTTTCTTAAATAAGTTTTTGGAACAATACATTTTTACACACAGCATTTGTTTTTAACTGCTAACACAAGCACCTTCTCTATTTATGCATCTGTACTGTTTAATAGTTATTCTGTAAACACCCAGCTGAATCCTCTTGCTTCTGTATTCTCTCCCCAAAATCTTTTTATAACTAAAGAAGCAAAATATTATATGCCTTACTTTCTCTTCTTGGTAAATTTGATTATTTTCAACCTTCTCTTATTAAGCATTAGATTTCTTTAGGCCCTGAACTTTCTGATTCAGCTCTAATAAATGAAATTTTGTCTGTTGCCTTGGAAAAGCATAAGAGAGGATAGGACACTAAGGCAGATACAGAGTGAAACAAATGTATAAAACAGTGCAGCCCTTTAAAAAGAAGCTTTTAAAGATAAAGTCCCAGGCTGAAACATTTACATAAAAGAATCTTATCCTTTATTTTACAGCCATGAATATGTCCTTGTGAGACAGGCTATAAAAAAACCTTTTTAAAAAGATTTGAACATCAAAGTTCTAATGTCTTCCGTAGAATATACCCTTCAATTCCAAAGGAATTGGTCATCAGGGGTAACTATAACTCT